CATAGATGTGGGCGCATGGTGAGGGGTGGAGGAGGGGGGAGGTAATTGTCACGGCATGGCAGTTCATGTTAGTGCGTGTTCATGAAAACCTGTAGGACGTGGTTATAAAGAGGGTGGGGGGAGGGGAATTAGGGCAGGGGACAGAATAGCAGTCAGTCCTAAGGGTGACGAGGCGGCGTAAGTGGAAATGAGTTTATCGATCGTTACCACAGCAATGCGAGGTCGATCACATGGTCCAGCTGCTTGCAGAGTTCTGGTTTTCTTCTCCGTATTGCAGCGGCCTCCGCAAAGCGTAGGAGACGCTCGGTCGTCGCCCGAACTACGACCTTTAACACAGTCGTTTGGTCAACTGTATGGCCAGTGTCCACTAAGGGCTTAGTGATTGAACTCTTGGGTACTTTATGTTCCGCCCTGAGCAACCACTTTGGCATGTGTTCAGCTGACATTTAATTAGACAGTTAATCCTCTTATTAATAGGCAACGACCGTCTGCAGCTGAATGAAAGGTCACGAAATTGATGACGTCATTAAATTCTGCTAATATAATGATCTTCACCTTGTACAAATTTCTTCCGGGAAAACAATGCTTCAGTATTTTAGAGAGTTCACTTTTCGCAGGCGCTCGCGAAGAAACACCTTCAGAAACCGGAAACTGTAACTGTCGGTAGGATTCAAATTTTTCGGCAATTTAAAAAGCTTTTTGTTACCAAACTTACCCCTTTATTCAGGTATAGCATTTAAAGAAGACAAAAATTTCCACCGAGCTATTACAGGAAGGATATTTTGTGTGTTTAAAAAAATATAAAAGCCTACTTAAATTTATAGGAGCATCGAAAATCAATGAGAAGAATGTATACTACTTATGTAGTATTTATCTGCAGAGTATGCCTTTTACAGACAGTCAGAAAAAAGTCCATTCAAGAGCCGGCACTCTGACTTGACTTAAATAGTTTGCGATCGGGCTGTAGGATAAGAATAACTATGTCACCCCTACTTAAGTTAATGGTTGCAATCAAAAAGAGAATGTAGTTGACACAATTGTGAAAAAACTCGCGGCATTCGGCGGGATTCGAACCCGCAT